GTGCACCTCCTCCTGTACTGCCTTAATATGCACATTCAGCACATCCAATGCATCAAAACATTGTTTTCTAGTTGGAGCCGCGCCTCGTTTTCAAACTGTATAATTTGACTAAAATGAACAATGACAGCAATATAGTCCACAATGAGCAGCGCTAAAATCAACCTGCGTAGTTGTCCCTCCATTGTGACATTAGAAAGTGTCACATTTATCTTGCAAGTGTACTCTTCTTCAACGTTTGCTTTACTTCCTGGATTTTTCCCACATGGAAATTCTGACCAAGAGCAGCTTTCTCTCACAAGGCATTTGTGGTATCAATCAATCAGTCAGTCAATTTTATTTATAAAGCCCAATATCACAAATCACAATTTGCCTCACAGGGCTTTACAGCATACAACATCCCTCTGTCCTTATGACCCTCACAGCGGATAAGGAAAAACTCCCAAAAAAAACCCTTTAACGGGGAAATAAACGGTAGAAACCTCAGGAAGAGCAACTGAGGAGGGATCCCTCTTCCAGGACGGACAGACGTGCAATAGATGTCGTACAGAACAGATCAGCATAATAAATTAACAGTAATCCGTATGACACAATGAGACAGAAAGAGAGAGAGAGAGACAGAGATGCAGGACAGACGGTAATGATAACTTCAATTGTGTGCATGGAGGCACTTCACGGCACTTGAAACTGAAACTAAGATTTCCTTTGTGAGCCCTTTGACTGGACGGAGAACAGTGACAAGGTCGTAGTTCAGAGGAAGAAGGAATCAGACTGGATTATTTTTCCATGAAGATGAAGGCGTTTGTGGTGTTTTTCATCCTCACTCATGGTAAGATAACGTTCACTCTCATGACAGCTCACTGTCATTTAGTCTCAGTTTGTCAGCAGTTAAGATAAAAGTTTCTCTGTAAAATTAAGAAATTTCAAAGCTGCTAAATCAAAATAACTTATTAGATTATAGTTTTCCTTTTGGTCTGTATACAGTAATGCAATATCTAAAAAGAAGCAGACACAGACCTGTTGTCATGTTTAATATGACCACTTTTACTTAATATGTGAAATGTTTTTACTTGTAAGAAAGTATTTCTACATTGTGGTGTGACTACTTCAGTAAAAGATCTGAGTACTTCCCACCTCTGTACTTTGGTACTGAACACATTTTCAGTGTTTTTAGGAGGAAGAGGGATGTTAAATTATCAATGTGTCATTCTGTCTCTGTGTATCTCAGAGTTATTCCTGGAAGTTTGTGTAAGATTAATGTCTAAAACTAAACAACTACAAATGAATTTAGAGCATTTATATGTTTAAATATTTATCTAGTTTTTTGTTTATTTTTTT